GTGTCTGAACTCACGCTGCCCTCCATCTAGGCTCCAAACGGGTATGAGGGGTGCCTTTGGAAAGCCCCAGGGCACAGTGGCCAGAGTCCACATTGGCCAAGTCATCATGTCCATCCGCACCAAGCTGCAGAACAAGGAGCATGTGATTGAGGCCCTGCGCAGAGCCAAGTTCAAGTTCCCTGGCCGCCAGAAGATCCACATCTCCAAGAAGTGGGGCTTCACGAAGTTTAACGCGGATGAGTTTGAAGACATGGTGGCTGATAAGCGCCTCATCCCAGATGGCTGTGGGGTCAAATACATCCCTAATCGCGGTCCCCTGGACAAATGGCGAGCCCTGCACTCGTGAGAGTCTCGGTGCTGCCCCCACCTTACACCCACCAATAAATCAGTTTTCCATCCAATAAATAAATAAATAAATAAATAAATAAATAAATAAATAAAAAATAAAGTGTAAAGAGCATGATTTAACTGATTCTGTGGAGTAGGATAATACCCATCTCCCTCTTTTTTGTTTTTTGTAGCTGAGTCTTTAAGGTTCGATTGGCTCTTTCTACAATTGCCTGTCCCTGGGGATTATAGTGAATTCATGTTTTATGCATTATTTGATGTTGTTTGCAAAACTGCTGAAAGGAGGAGCAAGTATAGGAAGGTGCATTATCTGTTTTTCTTTCCAGGGGCCGTCCCATGACTGGGAAAGTCACTAGGCAGTGGTTAATCACATACTTTGCACTTTCCTTCATAAGAGAGAAAAGAACCCTTCGAGGGATTTCAGAACCTATTGGGATGATGTAAAGCGAATTCTAGATCAGAGAAAGTTTCTTAAAATTCAAACCCTTGAAGGATTGTCAAGCTTGATTTTACCAATACATTATATATTAAAGTGGATTAGCCCTAGCTGGTTTGGCTCAGTGGATAGAGTGTCAGCCTGAGAATTAAATGGTCCAGGGTTTGATTCCACTCAACGGCACATGCTTGGCTCTAGCTGGTTTGGCTCAATGGCTGGAGCGTTGGCCTGGGGACTGAAGGGTTCCTGGGTTCGATTCTGGTCAAGGGCACATGCCTGGGTGGCAGGCATGATCCCCAGTAGGGAGCATGCAGGAGGCAGTCAATCAATGATTCACGTCATAATTAAAGTTCCAAGAGCAAAAGACAAAGAGAGAATATTAAAAGCAGCAAGAGCAGCTGAAACCGGTTTGGCTCAGTGGATAGAGTCTGCATTGGCCTACAGACTAAAAGGTCCCGGGTTCGATTCCGGTCAAGGGCATGTACCTTGGTTGCGGGCACATCCCCAATAAAGGGTGTGCAAGAGGCGGCTGGTCAGTGATTCTCTCTCATCGATGTTTCTAACTCTCTATCCCTCTCTCTTCCTCTCTGTAAAATATCAATAAAAAATATATTTTTTTAAAAAAAAGCAGCAAGAGCAAAGCAGGTAGTTAACTATAAAGGAGCACCCATATAATTGTCAGCTGATTTCTCAACAAAAACCATGCAGGCCAGACGGGAATGGCAAAAAATATTCAAGGTGATGAATAGCAAGAACCTACAGCCAAAAATACTCTACCCAGCAAAGCTATCACTCAGAATCAAAGGCCAGATAAAGAGCTTCACAAATAAAAAAAAAGCTAAAGGAGTTCATCACCACCAAACCAGAATTATATGAATTGCTGAAGGGGGTTCTCTATGAAGAAGAAGAAAATAAAGATAAAAATTTTGAACAACAAATACATAACTATCAACAAGTGAATCTAAAAACCAAGGGAATTTAAAAAATCTGATGAGCCGAAATTGGTTTGGCTCAGTGGTAGAGCGCTGGTCTGTGGACTGAAGGATCCAGGTTCGATTCCAGTCAGGGACATGTACCTTGGTTGTGGGCACATCCCTGGTGGGAAGGTGTGCAGGAGGCAGCTGGTCGATGTTTCTCTCTCAGCAACGTTTCTAGCTCTCTATCTCTTTCCCTTCCTCTCTGTAAAATATCAATAAAATATTTTTTTATTTTTTTAAAGGTAGTTGGTTTTTTTTAAATTTAATTTAATTAATTTATTTTTTAATACATTTTATTGATTTTTTACAGAGAGGAAGGGAGAGAGATAGAGAGCTAGAAATGTCGATGAGAGAGAAACATCGACCAGCTGCCTCCTGCACACCCCCTACCGGGGATGTGCCCGCAACCAATGTACATGCCCTTGACAGGAATCAAACACGGGACCTTTCAGTCCACAGACCAATGCTCTACCACTGAGCCAAACCGGTTTTGGCAAAATATATTTTTTTAAAAATCTGATGAACAATATTAACTGGTGAATATAATAGAATCAGAGGTATGGAAGGGCAGTGAATTGACGATTCTGAGGGAAAAGGGGAGGGGGGGTGTGGGAAGAGACTGAACATAAACTGTACACCTATGGGTGAGGACAATGGGGGGTGGAGAAAGGGCAGAGAGTGGGGTAGGAATCTGGTGGAGGGGAGCAATGGAGCGGGGGGGGGGATGAGGAACATTTGTAATAATATGAACAATAAACTTAAACTGGTCTTAAAGGTTTAGTCTTGACCACAGAATTATTTTCAGTTTGGCCATTAAATTTTTATATGTATGGCTATTCCTCAAAATATTTAAAATGGAGCTGACACACAATCCAGCAATCCCACTTCTGGGTATTTATCCATGAAAACAAAAACACTAATTCAAAAGGTATACTCACCTGTGTTCATTGCTACATTATTTTTAATTAGTGGCTTGGTGCACGAAATTCATGCACATTTAAAGGGAATTAATTAGAGAAAATAATTTAATATTGCTATTTGTCCTTTTTCTATAATTGAAGTGTCAGAGATGAAAGAAAATTAGTAAAATGTACAATATATGAAAACCTTCCTCCTGTCAGTGTCTGGGGCACACCACAGGGCCCAGAGTCAAGTCCCTGCCCACCCACATACACCTCAATGTGAGACCCACACCCGGCTGACCCCTACCCCATTGAGCTAGATCCAGACCCGGCCAGTCCCACCCTTGTCAAGCCCCTTGACATAGCCTCAGGTACCCTGGCCCAGTGCCAGGACAGGGAGCATGGTCTCAGGTCCCCCAGCCCAGACTGGGGCGGGGCGGGGGGGGAGAGCGTGCTTTGAGGTCCCCCCTCAAGCCCCGCCAAGCGGGGGAGGGGAGCATGGGGGTGCACCTTGAGGTCCCACGTCAAGCCCCCTGGGTGGGAAGCATGGCTTGAGGTCCCGTGTTAAACCCTGCCAGGCAGGGAAGCTCAGCCTCAGGTGCTGACCCGGTGCTGGGGCAGAGGGTACAGCTGAGGTCCCCTGGCCTGGTGCCAAGCGGAAAGCACCTCTTGAGATCCCCTGTCAAGCCCCACCTAGTGGGAGGTTTGGCCTGAGGTCCCCTAGCCCAGCACCAGGACGGGAAGAACACCTTGAGTTCCCTCATCAAGCCCTGCCAGGTGTGGGGCATGGCTGAGACCTTCTGTCAAGCCCTGCCAGGTGGGGGACATGGCTGATTGCTTGTGAAGGCTCCTTATGGGAACTTGGCCTCAGCTGTGAGTGCAGCCATCTTTGTGACAGAGTGATGGTCAATTAGCATATTCCCTCTTTATTAGATAGGATAGTCAAGATATGGAAGCAGCCTAGATGAATAGATAAGTGAGATGTGGTAGGCATATACAATGGAATATAACTCAGCAATAAAAAAGAATGAAATCATAAAAATGCTTTTTTTTAAAGAATTAAATCTTGCCGAAACCGATTTGGCTCAGTGGATAGAGCGTCGGTCTGTGGACTGAAAGGTCCCGGGTTCAATTCCGATCAAGGGCATGTACCTTGGTTGCGGGCACATCCCCAGTAGGGGGTGTGCAAGAGGCAGCTGATCAATGATTCTCTCTCATCGATGTTTCTAACTCTCTATCCCTCTCTCTTCCTCTCTGTAAAATATCAATAAAATATATATATTAATTTAAAAAAAAAGAATTAAATCTTGCCCCGACTGGTTTGGCTCAGTGGATACAGCATCTGCCTGTGGACTGTAGGGGTCCCAGCTTTGATTCCAGCCAAGGGCACATGCCCAGGTTGTGGGCTTGAATCCCAGTGGAGGGGGGTGTAAGAGGCAGTCAATGATCCTCTCATCATTGATGTTTTTATATCTTCCTCTCCCCCTCCCTTCCTCTCTTAAATCAATAAAAAAAAATTTTTTTAATCTTATCATTTACAACATGGATGGACCTTTGAGGATTTTACGTTAAGTGAGATAAGTTCGGCAGAGAAAAATAAACACCATATGATTTCACTTATAGATGGAATCAAAAACAACACTACGAAACAAATAAACAAACAAAATAGAGCCATAGATGTAGAGAACAAGCTGATGATTGCCAAAAGGGAGAGAAGTGGGGGATGGTAAAATTAATGAATTAATTTTGTAAAACTCCTGTCCCAGAATTATGCTAAAAACAAAAACCAAGAGCAGAGGGTAGGATTAATGGATGGAAAATTACTAAGAGAAACTTGATTAGATATTAAGCGGGGAAGGAAAGAGACTAAATAAATACATAAACATTCAAGAACTCAAAACACTGTGCTCAGAAGCCTCTCTTGAGGGTTAACTAAGAATGACATGGGGAAAATGCAGACAGCAGTTTGATGGTGAGCATTGAATATATTAAGTTGTAGATCTCTGACTAAAATAAAGGTAATGACAAGGATGGAAAAATAGTACAAAAAAAAAACCAAAAACACAATATGACTAGAAAAAAAACTGAAGTGAGGAGAGAAAGGGGAAAAGAATAAAATAACTGAATATAAGTAATAAATCGGGAATCAAGATATAGCTGACAAACAAAATAATACAGAAAGGAAAAGGAATTTGAGGACATTGGAAAAAGATACAAGCATATAGTAACTATTGGAACAAAAGCCAAAGCATTACTAAACACAGCAATTAATTTTAAAAGTAAGGGTTTTCTTTGTTTGGCGTTGGGTTTGTGTGTTGTTGATCTCTCTCTCTCTCTCTCTTTCTTTTCTTTCTTTCGTTTGGAAACAAGGTTGCGAATGGGAGGAATCTCAAATCAAATAAGCAAGGCTCATTACTGGGAAGATGAAGAAAGCTGAGACAGCAGCAAAAGGGCTGGAGGGCGCCCGCGGGTCGCGAACCGCTTCGCCCTGAGGCGAGTGCGATAAGGAAGTTTTGTATTCGAAGGAACCGCTGAGCTAAAGCCAGCCCGGATGTGCGCTTTGGATTAAATGCTTTTCACTGCTGAGAAGGATGTACGTCATAACAAATCGACGGAAGTAAATGTGATCCAGGATATTTTTCCAACCAAAAAACTGTCCAATTCGCTGTCGCCCGCAACACCCACCCACCCTACCCGGTGCCCATCTGAGAACACTTAGCAATGACTCAGGTCCCCCCTCCTCCTCAGTGAGCTCTCCCAGTTCCGGGTTTATCCTCTCCTGCCAGCAGCAGTCACCTGACCCACCAGCCTCTGCACTCCTGCAGTCCACCACACGGGGTCATCCTGTCATCAAACCAACTTTCAGAGCTTAACCAGGAATTCACTTTCTTCACAAGCTTCCAAGTGTATTTCAGGCCTTTTCTTGAACTTTGCAGCTAAACCAGATAAATCCTACAGCTCCTCTCCCAGGTGTTAATATAGCATTACTTACTCGGCTACTGGTTTTTAAATTTACTTGAAATCCCACATGAAACTCCTTTTATGTATACTGTAAGTAGCTAACCCTTCTCTTCCACAATCCTACTTTTCCCCAGTTAGCCAGGTAGGATTTCAGTGTATATCCTTCCAGTCCTTTCCCTCAACCTATATATTTTACACGATTTGCTTTCATGATTGGGGTGCTTCTTGGGGATCAGTTTGTTGGGCAATTTCTGTGCTTGTTTACTTAACAGTATGTCTTGGAGATCTTTCTTGTCAGTAAATATAGATCTAATCTATATTGTGATGGCTGCTTTACAGTCAAGTATAAATGTGCTAGTTTTTATTTTACATGTTTTTAAATACTTAATTGATTTCAGAGGAAGGGATGCAAACATCTCATCAGTTATGAGAATCACTGATGGGCTGCCTCCTGCATGGCTCACACTGGGCATCCAGCTCGTGATCCTGGCATGTGCCCCGACCAGGAATGGAACTCTCATCTCATGGTTCATGGGTTGACCCTAAACCACTGAGCCATGCCAGCTGGGCTGAACCAGTTTTATTTTAAATTCTTCACTATTATAAAAACAAAGCTTCAGTAAACATCCTTGTATGTTTATGTACACATAAGCAAGTATGTTTTTAGGATAGAGTAGAATTGCTAAATATTCTTCACATTTAAATTTCTGGAGGGGATTATGTGAGATACCTGAAGCCACAGAATTATCTGGAGCCATACTGAATTTTTGTTCACCCAATACTGTAAGTAGATATTTTACAAAATGTAAATTCCACAACGCTTTCATGCCTTGCCCCAGAAGATACTGCCAGAGCCTAGAACATACTCACATATATTGAATAAATGAAAACACGTAGGCCTGGCACAGGCATATTCCTCAATCAGAATGCAGTTCCCACGGTTTTAGAAAACAAATATCAATGAAGTTCCTCTTCCAGAGATTTCTGAGTTCTCTGGGATTGCTCTGGGCTCCTAAATTTCCATCCCTTCTCCAACTTACCACATTGAGTTCCTCCAAATACCCATGACCTAGGCAGGCCCCTTGGAGGCTCAAACCACTTGCCAGTCCCTAGAGAACTTAAGAGAACCTGGAATTTAGAAGTTTTTTAGTAGAGGTGGCCAGAGGGAGATTTCACTGTACCAAAGAGGGAGATGATTTGAAGCCAACTTGAATTAGTTTCCTGAAAAATGAATACTGAACCATGGAAGGTTATCTGCTCACTGATAACCTTCTTTAACCTGAATGGGGTCCCAGTCCACTAGGGCAGATTCTTATACAAGGACCCGTATAGTATATAATGACAAGGAAGGCACCCACTAATTAGCCTGCGATTGGGCAACAAACACTGTATGTCAAACTTTCAGCCAGGCCTTGAAACACATTCACAGTTCCCAGGGGCAGGATTCAGCATTAGAAATAATATAGGCAAAAAACAGTCCTGCCAAGTTTGGTTCAGTGGATAGAGTGCTGGTCCGCCTGGGGACTGAAAGGTTCCAGATTCAATTTCTGGTCAAGGGCACGTACCTCAGTTACAGGCCCTGGTTGGGGCATGTGCAGGATACAACCAGTATTTGTTTGTCTCTCTCCCTCTCTTCCACTCTCCAAACATCAATGGAAAAATATCCTTGGGTGAGGATTAACAAAAATAATATAGGCAAAAAAAATCCTGAACAGCAAAGGAATTTTGGATAAAAGTCCAAAGAAAAGAGCAGGGTATTCGGGGGGACCACAGATGATTCTGATACATTAAGGATTTCAGAAAACTACATGGGGCAGAGAATTTAGTCAAGCCCTATGGTGACAGCCTTAAGCCAAATAGAAATAGATAAAGTTGTAGAATTTACCTGCTCGATGTTTAAAGATTTTTGTTTTAAAAGACTGATTTTCCCCCCTTTGCATTCATGGGACTTGGCACAATACCTGATCCAGGGAATATCAAAATTGTGTTTCCTTTAGTTAATCACTCTTTACCAAAGCAGAGAAGAGTTTCTCAATGGAGCTGACTGGAAGGATTTCACCCCCACTCCTGGGGACAGACATTTTTAGTTATAATTTTGGGAAGGGGTGCTATTGGCAACTACTGAGTAGAGGCTAGGGATACTGCTAAACACCCTACAATGCACAGGGGGGCTCACACACAAGGAATTGTACAATCCATAATGTCAACAGTGCCAAGAGTGAGTGACCCTGCGCCTAGCCTAACTGCAGTAAGGAAACCCTCAGTTCAAGATGGAGCTCGCTGTTCCTAAAACACCACCCAAGGAGGCTAAAAATTATAGGAAAAGTTCTGTTCAGAGTCCTCTGGACAGAGAACCCATTAGAGGAAAATACAACTCATGCTGAAGGAACCAAGGGGGAAAAAGCGACAGGGCTCAAATGAAGGGAGAATACACCGTCTAATGGGAAACCCTCAGTGTGGGAAGAAGAAAAATACACAGGGGGAAAATATGGAATGTTTCCACAAATGTGAAATAGGCCCAGTCAATGCCATTTATTATACATGTTGAACAGCCTCTGACACACAAAGGCTCCCATTTGAGGGTGTGTGTTTTTTTCCGTTTTCTTTTTTGCATCAAACAGGTTCTTCCAAGAGCCTGCTCACAAGGAAGACAAAAACAGAGTAATCCTCAATAAAATAAAACAAACAGGAATAGCTTAACAATCTACATATGAAAAACAAAGGTTAAAAAAACTCAACAGACAAAATCCACACCAAACACTCATTCCATTTAATTTCCTATTTCATGCACTGAGGGAACCAAGGCTATCGAGCCCCAAGGCAATAATGCTCTGAGGTTCTAGTTCAGGCTCCCTCTATGTGACAGATTCATGCACACACATCCGCACATACTACTGACCCAGGCAAAAGTACACATGCATGCATCGGTGGCCAGAGAACCACTGTGGGGGGTGGGGAGTGGCTGGTCAAGGATATATCAACTAGAAACTGGGGGCCCAGAGAACGTTTCTGTGGAAGGCCAAGCAAGAGCCAAAATTAAAACAAAGGCAGAACACAGAATAAATGCAGGATGCTCGGAGAAGACTGGATAGACGAAGAGGGAAAGATGCAGGGGAAGTTTTGGGAAAGCAGCCTCAGAAGAGGTTTTTCTTTATTGGGAACAGATGGGCAAAGGGCCTGTGATGCGGGTGATACACTGAGGCTAAAGGAACATGCCACAGCATTACCTCTACCTCCTGTGCTTTCTCTCAAGGTCGAGAGAAACTATAAACACCCGCCCTCTAGTCCTCCCCATTGCCAGTTAAGGACTTTCCCAAGTACTCCCCCTGCACGAAAAAATGACCCCGCCCACACTCAAAGTTAAGCCCAGCAAAGGGCCAAGCATAGAAAGCCTCAGTAACTCTTCTTGGTGGAACCAAAGCCAGAGAAGCCCATCACAGCTGCCATTTCATCATCCTCCTCAAATGTCAAGTCCTCCTCAGCCCTCCTTTTCTTCTCCTTCTGTTTCTCTTTCTTGTAGGCTTTGGCCTTTTCCTCCTGGAGAGATGAGGGGGAAACCACTCAGTATCAGTTCAGGCTCCTGAGCCAAACATTGTCGAAAGAGATAGATGAGCTTCAAAATTCCTTTCTATTTTTAGGAGAAAATAGTTAAAGACAAGTAAAATTTCAAAAGCAGAGGAAAAAACCACAGTAAAGAGTATAAAGAGTATAAAGGACAAGAGAAGTTTTAGCCTGTGGAGAGCACTTCTCAATCCTACATTCCAGTTCATCTTTAGTTAATCTATACTAATAAAAGGGTAATATGCAAATTGGCCACAATGCCCTCACAGTAACGACCAAACAGCAGGCTGTGTGGGGCGACCAAGCCAGCAGGTAGGTTAGTGAGGGACATCCAAATGACTGAATAGTGGGTTGCATGGGGTGACCAAGCAGGCAGGGTTTTTAATGAGGGACGACCAAACGACCAAACAGCAGGTTACATGGGGTGACCAGGCCAGCAGAGGGGGCAGCGAGGGGCGACCAGGCTAGCAGAAGGGGGCAGTTGGCAGCAACCAGGCCAGCAGGGGGGGCAGTTAGGGGTGATCAGGCAGATGAGCAGTTAGAAGCCAGTGGTCCCAGATTGTGAGAAGGATGTCCGATGGGAACCGGACTGGAAAGGATGCAGGCTGGGCAGAGGGCACCCTCCCTGGCCCTGTGCATGAATGTCATGCACCAGGCCTCTAGTATTATAAAAGCAAAACCAGGAGGGGGTCGGGGGGGCATTGGTATATGTACAAAAATAATAATTTTTTTTAAAAAAGTATATATATATACATATATATATATATATATAAAAAAAAAGCAAAACCACTTAATAGCAAGTAACATTCTGAGGTATGTAGTACATGCCAGGAACTGATCTAAGTGCTTTAAGTATGTTATATATTAAGATATCTAATTGGAAGAAATTGAAGCAGTTTATGTAACTTGCCCAAGATTCATAGCCAGTAAGTGGAGGAAAGAGAATTGTGATCTACACAGCCTAGTTCCACTAGCCTCTTGGAGACCAGGTACATTTATTTAAACTAATATAAAAAATATGGCCCACTGAATCCAGAAAAATAAGGGTAGGTTAAGTAGAAAAGAGTGTTGGCCTGCGAACTGAAGGGTACTGTGTTTGGTTCTGGTTAAGGGCACATGCCTGGAATACCAGCTTGATACACCAAAAGGTCACCGGTTTAATTCCAGGTCAGGACACATACCCAGGTTTTGGGTCGATTCCTAATCAGGGTGCATACGGGAAGCAGCCAATTGATGTTTCTCTCCCCCTTTTTCTCCCCCTTCCTCTCTCTTTAGAATCAATTAAAGAGAGACAGAGAAAATCAGCCTCCCCATGATTCCTAACATACTATTCAAAGCTGGGGGAAGGAAGATGGAAGGACAGAAGAGCCTTACTTCTTCTCTGAGCTCCTTCATCCTTTCCTCGAAATCATAATCCTTTTGTTTCTCTTCCATCTTCTTCTTATTGACTTCAAAACGTTTCTTCACCTGATCCAAGGTGGAACGTTCCACACGCATAGACATGCCCAGATTTCGCTGATCTGGGTGGGGTCAAAAGCAAAGAAGGTAAGGTACTAACAACATCCTCAGCCCTTCGAGCCTTTTCCTGTTAGTACTTTTTCCTTTGAGAAATTTTTAAAGTTTATTTGGGCCAATCTGACAACACATGCCAGGGAGCAAGATTTTACATGCTTCCTGCTGACATTTTTTAAACATCTTCTTATAAAACACACAGCAAAAATAGTTATAGATAAAACAAAAACAAAACTCCCTTGGCTTTCCTTGATTCCAGAAGCTGCAGTCCCAGATTAATGAGATCTGAGCAGATCCATGTCAGTGGGGACACCTGAACCCAGAAAACCGTGGTTCGGGTTTGTGGAGAGCCTAGAACAGTGTCTCACTTCACGGCCTCAAAACATTAAACAATGAAGTAACAGATAACTTGTGCTGAAGCAAATGGAGAGTTCCCCAGGCATTAAAGAAAATACCCAAGTGAAACCACCCTTACCCCATCCCCGACACCAAAGCCTGATTCCAGGCCCAGTCACAAACCATCTCCTAGCCTTACGTTTCTTTCCATTAATGTGATCCAGGAAGTTGATGGAGTCCTTCACAACACAGTCACAGACATTACAGTAATATCTAGTAAACAGGAAGAAACAGCATGAGTCAAATCTGTTTGTAAAGGATTGTACTGTTTTCAACCAAGAAACTAATATTTTTAGGTAAAAAGTCTTTTTAGGAAGCACTTCTCATTTCCAAAAAGCCTTAGCTCTTGGAAAATTGTGGTAACTTCCAAGATGGCCCCTCAATGATCCCTACCCTCTCAATACTTGTAAACTGTGTAGTCCTCCCCCATTTACACCAGGGCTGGTCTGTGTAACCAATAGGATATATCAGACGTGATGCTGCGCTGGCCAGTGTGGCCCCGCTGGCCGAGCGTCATCCCATGCACCGAAAGGTCACCATTTCAATACCAGTTAGAGTGCATACCCATGTTTCAGGTTCCATTCCTGGTCAAGGTATAGGAGGCAACTGATCAATGTTTCTCTCTTTCTCTCTCTTAAATCAATAAAGGCTTTTTTTTTTTTTTTTTTAAAGTGATGCAGCCCTGGCCAATTGGCTCAGTGGATGAAGTGTCAGCCTCAGACAGATAGTCTCAGGATAGAATCTTAGTCAAGGCATGTACCTCAGTTTCATTTCCATCCCTGGTCCTGGTCCCTGGTCCAGGCACATGGGAAGGGCAACCAATCAGTGTGTCTCACCTTCATGTCACTCTCTTTTCCTCTACTCTCTCTAAAAAAAGAAAAAGAAAAAAAAAAATCCTCAGTTGAGAATTGAAAAAAAAAAAAATTTTAAGTGATGCTATTTCACTTCCAACATTAAGTTATAAAATTTTCTTTTAGCCCTAACCGGTTTGGCTCAGTGGATAGAGCATCGGCCTGCGGACTGAAGGGTCCCAGATTCGATTCTGGTCAAGGGGGCATGTACGTGAGTTTCGAGCACATCCCTAGTAAGGGGTGTGCAGAAGGCAGCTGATTGATGTTTCTCTCCCATCGATGTTTCTAACTTTCTATCCCTCTCCCTTCCTCTCTGTAATAAATCAATAAAATTAAAAAAAAAATTTTAAACATGGCTTCGAACTCTGTCCACGTGGATCACTTGCTCCGGGGAACCATTTACTTTGCTGTGAGGACTATGGAGAGGCCCCTGGAACGAAGAACTGAGGCTGCCACACGACAGCCACGTGGCAGAGGCTGGAAGGAGATCCCTCAGCTCCACTCACATCCTGGGTGAACACAGACACATCACACACCTTAACGGCACCTAATTTTGCCTCTAAAAATCTCCTCAGTAGTACCTTCCTTCCAGTATGAGAACAAATCATCCCTTTTAAGACAGTAAGTAGTTATAATGCTAATATGAAGGAGCCTACAGAGTGACCCCTCTACGAGATAATATAATGTTAACCTGAGACCTTGGGAGACAAAGAAAAATAAATCTAAGGATGGAATTACAGGCAACAAGATTGTTATCCTGACCCAGAAATCCTCAACACTTCCTAAAATCAACATAATCTGTTAGACCCATTCCTGACTGCGGTGTAAGATGAAAAGCCACTCACCCTCCCATCTCAGATTGTGGGGTGGTCTTGGTAATGACAATTGTCTTCCCAAGCTTGGATTCCAGGTCCACCTTGTAGTCCCTATGCCGGAGAAGCTCCCGCTTGACTGGCTGCACTGGTTTTCCTGAAATATAATAGGGAAGGAAGTCCCTTCAATATTGCAGTTCCTTAACCAGAAAAGAAAAGATATGCATGAAATTCAAAATCCAGAGGTTTACTCTCATTTCTTTTTTGAAACTTGAAGCAAGGGGCACAACAGGTACGTCTAGCAGTAGATAGGGAGAGTCTGAACAGGAAAAAAGATAAGCAATCCTTAACTCACTACAGTATTTCCTCACTTTATAGCCAATAAGTAAAAAAAGCAATGTTTTCTACTCATTGATTAGCTGAATTGAAGGGAGAAGATTTGAATTTTCACAAAAAGCAACCTTTTTAAAAAAAGAGCAAGGAGCCGAAACCAGTTTGGCTCAGCGGTAGAGCGTCGGTCTGAGGACTGAAAGGTCCCAGGTTCGATTCCGGTCAAAAGCATGTACATTGGTTGCGGGCACATCCCCGGTGGGGGATGTGCAAGAGGCAGCTGGTCGATGTTTCTCTCTCATTGATGTTTCTAGCTCTCTATCTCCCTTCCTCTCTGTAAAAAATCAATAAACTATATTAAAAAAAAAAAAAAAAGAGCAAAGATACTCAATAATGTTTTCAGATATCTTAAGCATCTGCGACCTGGGGAAATTTTTAAAAAGGGAACTAACATTTAGAAATTACCTGTTAATGTGCCAAACACTATTATTATATAGGCTACATAAAAACTAAAAGGTGCAAGGTGGCATGGAGGTAAAGTGAAAAAAGAACATACAGGTTGGAAAGCAGATGAGAAAAATCAAGTATTTTTTTTGTTGTTGTTTTGTTTTAAATATATATTTTATTGATTTTGTACAGAGAGGAAGGGAGAGAGAGAGAGTTAGAAACATCGATGAGAGAGAGTCATCGATCAGCTGCCTCTTGCACATCCCGCAACCAAGGTACATGCCCTTAACCAGAATCGAACCCGGGTCCCTTCAGTCCCCAAGCCGACGCTCTATCCATTGAGCCAAACCGGTTTTGGCAAGTATTTCTTTTTGTACAGTGCTATCTCTATTCTAGGAGAGGCGCACCAATTCCCTGACATTGTACAAGGCACAGAAAACAGCACTACTAAGCACTAGCAGAAACAATCAAATCTTCTCAGCCTAGTACCCTTACTCTTCTCAGACTACAGGAAAAGGTTTAGATTGGGCCAGGAATGTTCTTCTCCCCCTTAAGTAATTTCAACAGAAAGAGAGGGTCTTCAATAACAGTAATGCATAGCAGCAAAATACTCCTCTTGACTTCTCTGTCACTTTTTCCAGGAAACTACTAACATGAGCCAAGCAAAGGGAGGGCAAAGAAGCACAGGACAACAGAGCTGGAAAGCACCTCAAAATCACTTCAGTCCATCTCCTTGTTCATTTTATACATTAGAAAAGAAAAAAAATGAGGACCAGGAAGGCAGGGCTCTTACACAGGTAAGAGGGCAGTGCACTGCGACTCCCCACCGGCTCTCCAAGCCACTGCATCGCCTCTACGATACCCTTAGCCCTTGATGGAGAGGGCACCCACCATCCTTCTTTTCTCTCTCTTCCGTGAGCCTCTTCTCAGCGAGCTTCTCGTATTCATCTTTGTCCCACTTGCGGCGAAAGTCCAAGTTTTTCGTCTGTGGAGAAAAAAATCCCTCAGAATTCGTTGCTAATCGTGTCGGACGCCGAGAGAAACCTCGTCATCACTGGCAAGGCGGCCCCGGGACCTGTAGAGAACGAAGGCTCCCCAGAGCGCACAGGGAGGCTGAAGTGGCTCAGGACCCCAACCCGAGAGACCGCCGCGATCCCACTCTGCGCCAGGGCCTACGGGGCCGCAAAACCGCACGGAGGTATCGGGAAGCCAGTCCGGGGCAGTATATTCCGCGCTGAGAAACCCCCTCATACCCTCCACCCGCTGCAACCCTCCTTCTACACACAACACCTACCCCACTGCTGGACGCCATCTTCACCGCGAAGTGAATGGGAAGCCGGAAAATGTCGTAAAAGGCGACCTCGAAGCCGTAAAGCAAACTTGTCCTCCAATAAGCTGAGCGTCTGCCGTTGGAAAGGAGCTCAAGACTGGAGGGCTCCTAAAATAGACGTGTAAGCCCCGCCTCCGCGTCAACAAAATGACGCATGCGCAGGGAGAGTATGAAGCAACACGGAAGTAAGGGCACCTGCAAAGTTCTGTTGTTTTTTTTCCTCTGGCCTTTGGAAACAACCCTGAAAGTTCAACTCATCTGTTTTACAAACGAAGAACCTGAGGATCAGTGCACTCTAGTCTAATTAACTTGCGTGCATTACCAAGCGTTTCTAAACCTCTAAGGCAGAAGTGCTGACTTTAAGGGCTTCAGATGCCCTATTTATAAGGTAACCAGCTTTTAACATTGGTTAAGTGGGACACCATTGACGGAGGGGAGGGAATGGGGGGGGAGGGGTTCTTAAAAATTTGGTCTATATAGAGCAACAAAAATTTTCATAGAACGCAAAAATAGTATTTTAATATATTTTTTAAAATTTCAATGTAAGTACAATTTACAAATATAATAAATAAAAATTATGTATAGTATTATTCTTTGGCATATTTCTCACTTGAGTGAATTCTAACAACTGATCAACAATGTGAACTTTGATAAGCAGTTCTCTATAATCAGTTCTCAACAATTATTTATAAAGTTTAACATGAAATTAACAAAAATAATATAAAACTCACATCCTGGCTAAATAGCCACATGGCCGCCGAAAACCATATATTCCCTTCCTGTTCTCCCGCAGTTCCCTAGCTTGTTGTGCATTCTTTCCAAAAACTGGGACTTTTTTAAAACGCTGTGGGATGCGGGACAACTTGTTAAAAATCGGGACTGTCCTGCCAAAAGCAGGATGTCTGGTCACCATACCTATTTACCAGAACGGACTAAAGATATGCCGCTCCCTCCCCAACACCGAAGTGTTGGCAAAGGCACATGTGGAAGCGCTTTTTGTATCTTTGATTATCTTGAAGCAGTGCTATCACTCTATAAGTAACTCACTTTCCCTCAACTGAGGATTATAGCCAATATATGGACACAATTTAATCAAAGTAATTATACTTAGGAAGGTCAGTTATCAACAACACTCTAGGGCACATGTGTCAAACACAAGGCCCTCGGGCCAAATCCGTCCCGCCAGGCCTTGCAATGTGGCCCGCACCTCGCTGTCATCACTGCACTCCGCTGCGTTTCCATCACAATGACAGTTTATGACTGTTCAGTAAACCATTCGGCCCGCGATTTAGGCTGGATTTTAGATTTTGGCCCCTTCTCTGATTGAGTTCGACACCCCTAGAGTCTAGGGTGAAGAACTCTGGCAGATGGCTCACTGTTGATTTAGTGACATGAGTGCTCCAAGTTGGTTGGGGGAACTATGGTGCTCCCTTCACTGATTACAGAGCACCACCCCGTGAAGGTTACTCCTTGCTCTAGATTTAGAATTCGTATCCTAGCCAGTTTTGCTCAGTGAATAGACTGAAGGGCCCTGGGTTCAATTCCTGTCAAGGGTTTGATCCCTGCCCGCCCTGGTCTGAGGGCATCTGGAAGGAAACCAATTGATGTCCCTCTCTTATATCCATGTTTCTCTTTATCTGTCCCCTTCTCTTCCACTCTCTCTAAAATTCAATGGACATATCCTCATGTGAGGGTTAACAATAACAAAAAAAGATTTAGAATTCTTAGTGTACACTTAAGCATTTTCTATGTCCTATGCAAAACAATCCCTTCATAACAAACAACCCAAACTACTACATTAAATATTTTATTTAATATATTATCTGACCAATTCTAGAACAGTCACCTCCATGGCAGGACATGAAACAGAGCAGAGATTCTGGCACAGAAAATGGTCTCCAAAACCTCAAAAGATCAAATCTCCATATTGTTAGGTTACTTATAAAGTTCAATATTCAAAATTATTAAACAGACAGCCTCGCCAAAACCGGTTTGGCTCAGTGGATAGAGTGTCGGTCTGCAGACAGAAGGGTCCCAGGTTCGATTCCGGTCAAGGGCATGTACCTTGGCTGCGGGCACATCCCCAGTGGGGGGTGTGCAGGAGGCAGCTGGTTGATGGTTCTCTCATCAATGTTTCTAACTCTCTGTCCCTCTCCCTTCCTCTCTGTAAAAAAAAAAAAAAAAAAAAAAAAAAAAGGCAGCCTCACTCTGCTATTGTTAACAGATGGGCTAGCGACCTACCACATCAATATTGGCATTGCTAGGCTCTTGTGATAGCATCTCTGTCCTCAAACAAAGTACACAGCAGCCATGTGCCCCACATCATTGTCTCCCCAGGCCAATAGCAGGTTGTGGACAAATTTCCCAGAGTCTGGTTCAGAAACCACAGTGGAAGGCTACGTATCTGACTTCTGATCTCAACGGTTCAGAATCCTCTCAGCCGGAGGTGACTTTTCAGAGCCTTGCTCACAGCAAGCACCTTAGCACTTCTTGGCAGCATTCCAATGGGACATGAAATCTGTCATGTCTCTGCAGTTAGAGCATGTCTTTCTCACACACCAGCCATCTGCACCCATGCAGAGTAGCTGCTCACAATAGCCCAGGAGTCCTCAGGGCTTTCTCCATTTCTGTGCCCAGGAAGGATGGAGGAGGCAGAGGCACTTGTCACCCATCCTGGCCAGCTGTTGTGAAGCCCATCAGGAATTCAGTCCTAGATGAAACATTTTCTACAAAGAGCAGCAGATGACAATCAGGAAAGAATCAAGACTGCAATAGTCGCTTCTGAATTTCAGCCACAATATGTTCCCGTTTAATGGCCACCTGGAACATAAGAGAACCGTGTGACAAACTAGAGAGTGATATAGCTCCTTAGCCATTGATTTCTAGATTCAGTTTACTCTGTATCACCCGCACTACTTATGCAACCAGTGTGAGCTTTAAGCTGACTTACAGAATGTATGTCCTCAAGACTAAAGGGATTCAAATGCCTGATCTATGTCTATTTTGTTCATTAGTCTCAAAATAGCCACTGCTTACCCAGCCAGTATCATGGGCTAAATGGTTGCCTAGGATGGGTCTTCATTCATCTCTATCACTATTAACTCTGAAGATATTTCCTCAGCCAGTAACATATTTCTTAAAGAATCCTGAAAAGGTAGTAACACCTGGTCCCTTCCACTTTTGCTGCACACTCACCTCCTCTCTGCTGGCCACCGAACGGAGCTTGATGACCCCGTCCTTCAGCTCTTGCTCACCAATAATGACTACCAGTGGAATGCCTGTGTCCTCACAGTAGTGCAGTTGCGTTAGTAATTTAGGGTTGTTCTTATACAGCAGCTCTGCCTGAAAAGGATGAAGGTAAAGTAGGGGACTTAGAAGTGACCACCCCACCCCAGGAGTGAGCATTTCCAGAGAAATAAGTAGCTAGCCCTGCTATCCAAAGAAGGCTGGGAAGAACTTGAGTTCCACCTAGGCATGAAGTAGAAATGGGCCTAGTGCCTGAATTCCACATATACCTACATGGTTTGGGAATTAGCTCCACCATACCTTGATCCCAGCATCCCAAAGCTCTGCAATTAGCTTCAACCGTTCTTGGAGAAAGTTCTTCTGTGGAGTGGCCACAAACACTTGGGTCTCTGTGGTCCGTATCTTCTCACCAGAAGTCTGAGAAAAGAGAAAGAACCAAAATAAAAACTTCCTTTGCACCAGATAATTTCCAAAAGTCAGGACAAAAAGAATCATAAGAAGCACAGTTAAAAAAAAAGACACAGTCCAACCCTAGAGGATGTAGCTCAGTGGTTAGAGTTTTGCCTTGCACAAAGAATAGTCAAGGGTTCGATTCCCAATCAAGGCCATGTGCCTGGGTTGCAGGTTTAATCCCAGGGCAACCAGTCAATGCTTTTCTCTCCACCCTCCCACCACCCCTACCTCAAACCTTGCTCCTCCCTCCCTTTCACTTTCTCTAAAAATCAATGGGAATAAAATCCTTCAGTGAGGATTAACAAAACAAATTTTCTTTTTAAAAAGAAAACCTAGCTAAACCCGTTTGGCTCAGTGGTAGAGCATCGGTCTGTGGACTGAAAGGTCCCAGGTTCGATTCCGGTCAGGGGCATGTACGTTGGTTGCGGGCACATCCCCAGTAGGGGATGTGCAAGAGGCAGCTGGTCAATGTTTCTCTCTCATGGATGTTTCTAACTCTCTATCCCTCTCACCTCCTCTCTGTGGAAAATCAATAAAAATATATTTTATAAAAAGACAAAAAGAAAACCTGTCCAACTGCACTTCCAGAAACATGAGTTTTTAGGCCTCCAGTCCCACTCCACCCCTACCTAGGACCCACCTTCATCCTCTGCTCCACAATGGAGAAGATTCGCTCTACCCCAATGCTGAGCCCCACGCACGGCACCTTGTGGCCTTTAGGGTTAAACATGCCCACCAGCCCATCGTAGCGCCCACCGGCAGCCACGCTGCCCACACTCAGGGGCTCTTCCTCAGCAGGAGCTGGGGCCTGCAGCAGCACCGCTTCGTAGACCACGCCTGTATAGTAGTCCAAGCCCCGAGCCAGGCTTAGATCAAAGCGGATCTGTGGGAACAAGGCTAGCGTCAGTCCTAGACAAGACTCAGGACCCTGAGAACCCCAGAGCTCAGCAGGAGGTCCATGCCCAATTCGGCTTACCTTCTCTGCAATTCCAAATAGAGTCAGGTATTCAAAGAGCAGCTTTAGATCCCCCAGGCCCTCTAAGGCCTGCTTGCTCTGGCATAGTCTGGGATCCTGGAACATTTGCTCTACCAAGGACAGCCCACCTGGGAGACATGCGGGGAGAAATAAAGTCTGTGCTCTTCACGCAAATGTATTTCATCCAAATTTATCTTTTTACTTTTTAAACGTTTTTGGTTTTGAGAGAGAAAGAAGATAGTAGAGGGAGAGAGAGAAACATCGATGAGAAAGAAATATCAATTGGCTGCCTGCTGCTTGCCCTGAACTGGGGATTGAGCCCACAACCTGGACATATGACCAGTGACCTCAGGGTCCATGGGTCAACGCTCAACCAATGAGTCACATCAGCTGGGGGGCTCCTCATTTTCATTAAAAAAAGATA